CTCCAACAGGACAACGTGCGCAAAAACCAAGGAATATCGTCAACTGCATGGTAAAGATAACCGACTCCTGCACAACCGAGTCACCGCCGTACTACTCACCCGAAGAACAACTTGACAACAGCACGCCTCGCCGCGGGTCTCTTCAACCGAATCCGACGTACGCCGCCATTGCTCAAAGTGAACCATCCGGGAAAGATACTTGGTTCTTGGACAGCTGCTGCGGACAACACATGTGCTCTTCGGGACGCTTCGTCCAAAGCGAACATCGACTTCAACGAGAGGTCGTCATCACAGTTGCCAACAATCAGAACCTGCGCACACGACGACAAGGAGTGGTACAGCTTCAGTCCAGGGAGACTAATGTTATACTACACATGTCAAAGGTACTAATAGCAGAAGGACTCGGCTACAACTTACTGAGCGTCAGCCAGTTGATGGCGAAGGGCATCCACTTGGAAGCCGACAGCACCACCCAGGAATTTAAATTATATCACGGGAAAGGCGGCCTTTACATCGGGAAGGCAGTTCTGAAGAACAACGTCTTCGTCCTGGATTTCGTCCCGGACCTGGGCACCGCAGACAGCGACGCTATTGTTAACTTCACGGACTGGACGCACCCTCCAGATCTTGATCCAGACTTCAGCCCGGAAGGCTTCTGGTACTCCCATACTATCCCTGAAGCAGAACGAACACGCGCATTAGCAACAATATAACACTCGACAGCAGCAGAGACAACATCGACAGCAGCAGAGACATCATCGGCAGCAGCAGAAACAACAACGGCAGCAGCACAGACATCATCGGCAGCAGCAGAGACAACATCGGCAGCAGCAGAAACAACAACGGCAGCAGCAGAGACATCATCGGCAGCAGCAGAGACAACATCGGCAGCAGCAGCAGGAACAACGACACCAGCCCTCGTCGACGAAGAACCACCAACACCCGCACAGCAGATGAAACCAACTCCACGAGAAGCCCACAGAAGCGCAAACTTCGTCGCCAGCTTCTACTCCAACTCCGACACGTATCGACGATCACCCGGACATCGCGCCTCCGAAGAAACCTGGCACGCACGATTGGGACATCCAAGCAACACAGTCTTAAACAACACGATAAGAGCAGGAGTTCTCGACAAAGACTCCCTACTACTACCCGACGGCAGAGAACTTCAAAAGGCACGAGGGACTTGTCTTACCTGCCCCAAAGCTGACTTACCACATCGACCGTTCGCTCCTCATCACAACCCGAGCGCACCAGCGTACGCACCACTCGAGAAGGTGTACAGCGACATCCTCTACAATCGCGAACCAGGACAAGTCACCTACAACTATACGATTACCTTCATCAACGCCGCCACTCGATATGTCTGGCATCTAAACCTACCAAGCCGCGACATGGCATTCGCAGCGTTCGCCGCCTGGCTACCAGTAGAAGAACGAGAGTCGGGAGCACAGCTGAAAAGCTTCCAGTCTGGCGGAGGAGTAGAATACACCTCTCAGCGCTTCAAGTAGTACCTGGTGGAAAGAGGAATCAAGCAACTCCTCTCCCTTCCCTACGCCCATCAGCAGCAAGGTGTCGCAGAACGAATGAACATGACTCTGCAGAACAGCATGCGCAAACTGTTACGTGGCATGCGGCTACCCAACCACCAGTGGCCTGCAGCAATGGACCATGCTGTCATGCTGCACAACTTGCTGTCGTCGTCGTCACTCCCGAACAACGCATCACCGCACCTGCTCTGGACAGGGAAGCAGGGCAGCACAAAAATGTTACGAGTTTTCGGGTGCATGGTACAGTACCGACCCCCAGAAGCACGAGCGGGAAGATTTTCACAACGGGCACAGTGGGGACTACACCTCGGCATCGAGAAAAATTACAACGCGTGGAAAATCTTCGACGTCCACTCAAAGGGAAACAGTAGCAGCACGTGATGTGATCTTCTACAAGCGACTCACCCTTCAAACGTACCTCGCCAACTTGCACGAGAATCAAAACCCCACAGGTGGCTTTCGTGGTGACCGAGCCTTCGCCTCAGCAGCAGACGAAGCAGACTGGGACGAGCAGAACGTCGACAACGCATCTGAAGAAGCCGGACCTCTCCCGTTCTGCTCCGTCAACGTCCCCATGGATGAAGAAAATCCTCGCGAAAGTGCCAACGCCGAATTCTTCTATCACTTCGCCGACAATGGTTACGTAACACCTGCAACAGCCAACACCGACGAAGCAGAAAGAGTAGGACCGAATTTCATACCCGACCCAGAAGCGGGAGATGAAGCAGCTTATCCCGAGGACACAACACTCCCCCGCTACTCACAGACCGGACTGCAGATTCTCGGCCTCGTCACCGCAGTCCATGGCTCCTCTCTTCCTAAAGAGCCTGCGACGGTTCAGCAGGCTCTGGGGGGGGAACACAGGGAGAAATGGCGTGAAGCCATGGACAGAGAACTAAAGGCATTGGAGGAACGCAACACCTGGAAGGTCGTTCCCGCAAGCGTGGCAAGGAACAAGACTATTCTCACCGGGGAATGGGTCTTCCGCATCAAAACGAAAGCAGACGGCACGATCGAGAAATTCAAAGCACGCTGGGTCGTGCGTGGATTCGATCAGGAGCAAGGACGAGACTTCACTGAGACATTCGCCCTAGTCAGTCGACATACCTCTCTCCGAATCCTTCTCGCCGTCGCCGCCATGAAGAAGAAGAAGCTGCGACAAATTGATGTCGCCAATGCATTCCTCTACGCACCCGTCGACGCCGAAATCTTCGTCGAACTCCCACACGGTACCCACGGAAACCCCAATCAAGTCTGTCAGCTACTGAAATCTCTCTACGGAATCAAACAAGCACCGTGGCTGTGGCAACAGCACCTACACACCCGCCTTACTCGCATCGGATTTCGTCAACTACCTCACGACCAAGGGATGTACCGACTCACCAAAGACGCAGACTACATCCTGCTGATAGTCTATGTCGACGACTTGCTCTACATCGGCTCCACCGACGACATCACCACCTGGTTCGAAGGGGAGCTGCAGAAGGACCTCACGCTCAGGGTCTCTTCTACCGTCACGCAGTACCTCGGGCTCAACATCCGCGAAGAAGAAAATGCGATCTATCTAAGCGCCGAGAAATACGCCGACACGATCGCCAAGCGTTTTTCGCTCACACCTACCGCTATCGCCACGCCATACCGCTACACGGCAGGAAATGACAAAGGAAATTCCGCTCCACTCAAAGCTGCCGGAATACGAGACTACCAGAGGAAACTGGGCTGCCTCCTCTTCGCAGCCGTCACCTGTCGCCCGGATCTATCCTACTCCGCAAGCCAACTCGCTACCTACCTCAAGAAGCCCGAAGCAGAGCACCTGGCGGAGCGCGATCGCGCACTGCACTATTTCGTGAGCACGCCGACGATCGGCCTGACTTACTAAAAGAGCGAAGCTACGTGAACGAAACTAATCGGCTACGTCGATGCCGACCATGCCGGCGATTCAGATAACAGGCGCTCTCGCACTGGCTACGTCTATCGTCTAGAGCCTATCGGACCTATCTCCTGGCAGTCGAGTAAGCAGGAACTAATCACTCTCTCCTCAGCTGAAGCAGAATATATCGCCCTTTGCTCAGCCACCAAGGAAGGACTCTACCTACGCGAGCTGCTGGAAGAAGCAAAGTTAGCCGAGTTACCCAACTTCACCTTGTTCTGCGACAACCAATCCGCAATTCGCATCGCCAACAAGAGCGGATTCGCGAACAGAACGAAGCATATCGCCCTGCGATACTTCTTCGTGAAAGACGAAATCAAGAAAGGGAAACTCGATCTATCCTACTGTCCTACGTCCGAGATGGCAGCCGACTACTTGATCAAGAAACTTGGAAAACAGAAGTTTGAGTACTGCATGCTGCTGACTGGACAAAGCCACGTCACCATCAGCGACACTCCAGAAGCGAAGGGGAGTGTTGGGTGTCAGAATATTATAGCTTACTTATTTGTGTAGGCTATAGTGGGGTATCCCATAGGGGGTACAACCCAACTAGGGTTTCCTATTTGTACTCACTTCGTTCATAGTCATGGTATCGAGCAGGTTCCCCCGTGGGAACTGTGCTTAGGGCCCACCACATCGAACTTTTTTTTTCTGCCCGGAGCGCGCTCCGGGCCCTTGCTCTTACCTTTTTTTTTTCGATCTGCCCTACGGCCCTAGCGCCGCCTTAGCGCGCCGCCCGCCCTAGCAGTCCGAGCGCCGCCTTAGCGCCCGCGACCCGCTGCCCGCCCTAGCGCCCTAGCGCCCGCACGCTGCCCAGAGCCGCCCGTGCGCCACCCAGAGCCGCCCGTGCGCTAGCCGCCCGACGCGCCAGCCGCCCGACGCCCGCTAGCCGCCCGACGCCCGCTAGCCGCCCGACGCCCGCTAGCCGCCCGACGCCCGCTAGCCGCCCGGCGCCCACTAGCCGCCCGTCGCCTGCGCGCCGCCCGACGCCCGCTAGCCGCCCGTGGGCTGCCCGTGCGTCGCCCCCTGCAGCCCGACGCGCCGCCCGTGCAGCCGCCCGTACAGCCGTCCGTGCAGCCGCCAGTGAACCGCCCGTGCAGCCACCCGTGCACCCGCCCGTGCTGCCGCCCGACGCGCCACCCGTGCAGCCGCCCGTGAGCCGCCCGTGCACCGCCCGTGCAACCGCCCGTGCAGCCGCCCGTGCAGCCGTCCGTGCAGCAACCCCGCGAGCCGCCCGTGAGCCGCCCGCCACGACGCCCGCGCCGCCCGTGAGCCCCAGCGTCACCCGAGCAGCAGAGCCGCCCGAGCCGCCCGTGCTGCTGCGTGCCCGAGCCGCCCTAGCCGCCCGAGCCGCCCGAGCCGCCCGAGCCGCCCAAGCCGCCCGAGCCGTCTGAGGTGCCGAGCTCCTGCTCCTGTGGAGCTGCTACTGCTCCTGGGCCGGCGGAGTTGGTGTGCTGCTGTGTTGCTGTGCTACTGAGCGACCCGACCCTTCCTGTCCGGTGAGAGTGTCAGCTGCTATCATGGCCACCCCCAGTGTCCTGGCTTTTGACGCTGAGGGTCGCGCCATCGACTTTGCGGTCTGGGTCGACGACCTGCAGCTGTACTTGCTTTGCGATACGGTAGATGAAGTTTCTCTCTTTGACTTTGTCTCTGGCGCTGTACCTGCCCCTCCTGCTGATGCTGACCCCACTGTGCGCTCCAAGTGGGCCTCACGCGATGCTGCTGCACGTCTTGCTGTGCGTCGCCACCTCCCTTCCTCCGAGCGCGCACACTTTAGTCAGTGTAAGACCGCTCAGGCCTTGTACGACGCTGTAGTTGCGCGCTACTCCTCCCCTTCCTCTGCTACACTGAGCCGCCTCATGCTACCGTACCTCTTCCCTTACCTTGCTGCCTTTCCTACAGTCGCTGACCTCTTTACCCACCTTCGCGCTAGTGACACTCGCTACCGAGCTGCGCTTCCTGCTGCCTTCTGCGCCGAAAACCCCCCTCCCATGTACATCACCCTCTACTTTCTAGTCACCCGTCTCCCTGAGTCCCTTCGTGCTGTTAGGGACTAGTTTCTCTCTGTCTGTCCCACCACCCTCACTGTCGACCTCCTCGAGAAGTCCCTGCTAGCGGCCGAGAAGAGCATAGTCGCTGTAGGGGCCTCTCGTGGTGACCCCCGCACCCCCATCTTTGAGGGGTGTTCTCCTTCCCCCCTGTTACCCTCTGCCGCCTCTGCTGCTGCGGCCGACCTCGTTGGTCTAGAGTCGGTCGGTGCGGCGTCTGCCCCCAGCGGTAGGCGCCGCTCTAGCAAGGGCAAAGGGGGCAAGGGAGCGGGTGGAGCTAGCGGGGGCGGTAGCGGAGGAGGTGGGGGCGGCGGGGGGAGTGGGGGTGGCGGTGGAGGTGGTGGCGGGGGTGGAGGTCCTAGTGGCGGCAGTGGAGGCGGAGGTGGCGGCGGAGGTGGTGGTGCAGGTGGCGGTGGGAGCAGCGGGGGCGAGGGTGGCGGTGGCGGCGGTGGCGGCGGAGGCGGGGGTGGTGGTGGTGGAGGTGGTCGGAGTGGCTCGTCCCAGCGGAGCAGCAGTGGGGGTGGTCAGCGCCAGCAGCAGCAGCAGCAGCAGCGCTCTCGCGACGTCCCCGCCCCTCAGCAGCTCCGTGAGTGGTACTCGCAGCGTCAGCGTGGTGGGGCGTTCGGTCCCTGCACCTACGTCCTTCGCACCGGCGACCGTGTGGGTGAGCAGTGTGGGGGCACCCACACCGCCCGCCGCTGCTTTGCCCGCTTGACCGACGCTTGGCGCCAGCAGTTTCCGGAGGCCTCTGAGATCCCCCGCTGGGGAGAGCTGTCTAGGGCTGGTGTAGCCATCTTTGATCTTGACTTTGATGCTATCCTTGCTGCCATGTATGCTGTGACTGTTAGTGATGAGGGTGACTGTTACCGGTGTTTCCCGCCCGACCCGGGCATTGGTGCTGCTGCGTCAGGTGCCAGTGTGGATGCTACTCTACGTGCCAGTGCGTCTGTGCTCCCAGGTACTAGTGAGTCTGCACTCTCAGGTACTGTGTCGGCTTCGGCCTCTCACACCTTCACCCTTGACTCTGGGGCGTCTCGCTCCTTCTTTCGGGACCGCACCACTCTCACGCCGCTTAGTCGACCGGTTGCGGTGTCCCTGGCTGACCCCTCTGGAGGTCCTGTCCTGTCTCGTTTCTCCACAGTCCTCCCGTGTCCGGCGGCTCCCTCTAGCACCCTGACTGGTCTCGACCTCCCCTCGTTCTCTACGAACCTGGTGAGTGGTGCGGACCTACAGGATGTGGGTGTCCACCAGTTCACTCCCGCTCGTCAGTGGGTGACACACTGCACAGAGGCTAGCACAGGTCGCCACCTGGCTACGTTTACACGTCAGCCAGGGTCGAGCCTGTACACACTGACCACTACTTCTCCTCCCGGTGCTGAGTCTGGTAGCGTTTCTTCGTCTGGTCAGGTGTTAGCTGCAGCGTCCAGGTCTGGTCCTGAGTCTGCCCCCTGTTCGTGTCGCCGTCTGTCTCACGAGACTCTCCTCTGGCACCACCGCCTTGGCCACCCCTCTCTGCTTCGGCTCAGAGGCATGGCCTCCCGTCTTCTTGTGTCTGGTCTCCCCCGGTCCCTCCCTCCCCTTCCTCAGGGCCCTGGCCCTGCCTGTGTCCCCTGTGTCGAGGGGCGCCAGCGTGCTGCCCCTCACTCCTCCCAGTTTCCTCCGACAGAGGCTCCGTTGCAAACGCTTCACATGGACGTGTGGGGCCCTGCCCGCGTCCGTGGACTCGGTCACGAGCGCTACATCCTGTTGGTGGTTGACGACTACTCGCGTTACACCACAGTCTTCCCCTTGCGCAGCAAGGGTGATGTCACTGAGGTGCTGATCGTCTGGATCCGCGCAGCTCGTCTCCGGCCCAGGCAGAGCTTTGGCTCGAACTTTCCTGTGTTGCGTCTGCACTCGGACAGAGGCGGAGAGTTCTCCTCTGGCCTTCTGCGTGCCTTATGTCGTGCGCGAGGCATCCGCCAGACCTTCACGCTTCCGGACTCACCGCAGCAAAATGGGATTGCAGAGCGCCGCATTGGCATGGTCATGGACGTCGCTCGTACGTCTATGATGCATGCGGCTGCCCCCCATTTTCTGTGGCCGTTTGCGGTCAGGTACGCGGCGCATCAGATCAACCTCCACCCCAGGGTCTCCAGGCCGGAGACCTCCCCAGCCCTGCTGTGGACGGGGAAGGTTGGCGATGCGTCGGCGTTCCGGGTCTGGGGATCTCGGGCGTTTGTCCGCGACTTGTCTGCGGACAAGCTGTCCCCTCGCGCAGCTCCCTGCGTCTTCCTGGGGTTCCCCCCCGACGCCCCTGGGTGGCAGTTCTATCACCCCACCACTCGACGTGTTCTGTCCTCCCAGGACGTCACGTTCGACGAGTCGGTACCCTACTACCGCCTCTTCCCCTACCGCACTCCGTCCCTCCCCCCGCCCCCGCTCTTCTTGGTACCAGGTCCCCCCCCGGTAGACCCCCTCCCCCCTCAGGGTCCTGCCCCTTCAGGTGTGTCCCAGGTAGACGCGGTCGGGCCTGTCGAGGTAACTGGTGACTCTGGTGCTGCTGCGGGAGCTGAGCCTGGGGCTGCTAGGATTGGAGGTGCTGAGCCTGGGGGTGCTGAGCCTGGGGGTGCGGAGTCTGGGGGTGCTAAGCCTGGGGGTGCTGAGCCAGGGGGTGCTGAGCCTGGGGGTAGTGTGTCTGGGGAGCCTGAGCCTGGGGGTGCTGGGCCTGGGAGTGCTGAGCCTGGGGGTGCTGAGACTGGGGGTGCTCCGCCTGGAGGTGCCTTGCCTGGAGGTTCTTCGCCAGGAGGTGCTTCGTCTTGCCGAGAGCCACTCTCCCCACAGGAGCTGCGTGAGTGGTTTGCCCGGCGCTGGAGGCGTACTGCTGGTGCGGGAGGTTCTTCGGCTGCAGAGGGTGCTGCTGCCGCGCGTCTTGGAGGTGCTCGTGCGGTGGGTGCTGGAGCTGCTGGGCCTGAGGGTTCTCCTGGAGCTGGTACTGCTGAGGGTGTTGGCGCTGAGACTACTGCTGGCGGTCTTACTGGCAGTGCTCCTGGTGCTGCTGGGGGTTCTGGAGCTACTGGAGGTGCTGCTGGAGGTAGTGCTGGAGCGAGTACTCCTTCTGGGAGTACTGGTGCTGTCCCTACTGTTTCTGGCGTCGCCACGCGGCCCCGACCGTACTTCGTTCCGCTCCTGCAGCAGGTTCTTGGTCTTACACCTTCTCCTGGTCCTCCTCCTCCTCCCTTAGAGGGTCCACAGCCTGTCCACTCCCAATCACAGCTACAGCCTGCCTCCCCTTTGCCTGCGCCTTCTCCCTACGCTGGTCCGACTGGAGGTCTTACTGAGCGTCGTGAGCCTGCGTCTCGTCCTGCATCGCCTGTTCGTCCTGCACGCACTAGTGGTCGCGGTTCACGTCAGCGTCCTCCTCCTGTCCCTGGCTCGCACCGTATGTCTCTGCGTCCGTCCACTGCTCCTCTGCGTGCCCCTTTGCCTTCTCCTCCTGAGTCCTCTCTTCCTGCCCTTGCCGACCCGGAGCCGGACTCTCTTCGTGCTGCCAGTCCTACTGTCACGCGTCTCCTTGCTACTGCTGTCACTGACCCTTCTTTCGAGTCTTCTGCTGCGTCTGCCCTTGTCACTGAGCTCGTCGACTTTGCTGCGCGCTGTCGTCTAGACTACGCTGCTAGTCCTGTCGCTGAGTCTGAGTCTGTCTGTCCTCCGTCCGTCGGGGGTGAGTGTGCCCTTGGCACGGACGTCCTTGAGGACAGGCAGGAGGAGTTCCAGTGTCTGGCCGCCGCTTCACCTCATCTCGCGTCTGTACTGCTCGCCCCTGAGGGAGACCCGGATGCACTTGACATCCCGACTCCGCGCTCTTACGCGGAGGCGATAGAGGGTCCTTACTCCTCTCAGTGGCAGGCAGCTATGGATGCAGAGATGGCTTCCTGGAGGTCCACAGGCACCTACGTTGACGCTGTTCCCCCTCCTAGGGCGAACATCGTCAGTGGCATGTGGATCTTCAGGGTGAAGCGGCCGCCGGGTTCTCCGCCTGTCTTCAAGGCGCGTTACGTGGCTCGTGGCTTCAGTCAGTGGCAGGGAGTTGACTACTTTCAGACCTTCTCTCCCACCCCGAAGATGACCACTCTTCGGGTACTGCTGCACGTTGCTGCTCACTGTGACTACGAGCTGCACTCTTTCGACTTCAGCACTGCTTTCTTGCAGGGCAGCCTGCGCGAGGAGATCTGGCTGCGCCGCCCACCTGGCTTCACTGGGTCTTTCCCTCCTGGTACCCAGTGGAGTCTCCGGCGTCCAGTCTACGGTCTTCGCCAGGCGCCACGTGAGTGGCACGACACACTAAGGACTACGCTTGCGGCTCTTGGGTTTGCTCCTTCTACTGCCGACCCGTCGCTGTTTCTGCGCACCGACACTTCTCTGCCGCCGTTCTAGATCTTCGTGTACGTCGACGACTTGGTCTTTGCCACAGCTGACACTGCTGGACTCGCCTACGTGAAGTCCGAGCTGCAGAAGAGACACACGTGCACAGACCTGGGTGAGCTGCGCAGCTACCTTGGCTTGCAGATCACCCGGGACAGAGCACGTCGCACCATTACCTTGACTCGGTCACACATGGTGCAGCAGGTCCTTCACGCTTCGGCTTCACGTACTCCTCGCCTCAGGCCACTCCTCTGCCTACTCGCCACTCGCTCTCAGCTCTGCCTTCGGATGAGTCCGTAGAGTCGAGTGGTCCGTACGCAGAGCTTGTTGGCTGCCTCATGTACCTGATGACCTGCACACGACCTGACATTGCATACCCTCTTAGCATTCTCGCCCGCTATGTTGCTCCTGGGAGACACCGACCAGAGCACATGGCTGCAGCGAAGAGGGTGTTGCGCTACTTGTGCAGTACGTCGGGCATGGGGCTAGTGCTTGGAGGGCGCAGTCCAGTGGTCCTCACTGGGCACGCGGACGCTTCTTGGGCTGACGACCAGGCTACGCAGCGGTCGTCACAGGGTTACACCTTCAGCCTTGGTTCCGGCTCTGTTTCGTGGCGGGCTACCCGCTCGTCTTCTGTTCTTGGCTCCAGTTGTGAGGCTGAGATCTACGCCGGGGCTATGGCTGCTCAGGAGCTTCGCTGGCTCACCTACCTGCTGACCGACCTTGGAGAGCCGCCTCGTTCTCCTCCAGTCCTGTACGTAGACAACAAGGCCATGCTGGCCTTGTGTCGAGAGCAGCGACTGGAGCACAGGACAAAGCACATTGCTCTCCGCTACTTTCTTGCTCGTGAGCTACAGCAGCGTGGACAGTTGCGACTTGCGTACGTGGCCTCTGAGGCCAACACTGCTGATGTCTTCACCAAGGCACTTGCGCCTTGTGATCATCAGCGTTGCTGCACGCAGCTGGGTCTTGTGCCTGTCTTGGCTCACTTGCTCACTTCTTGACCTTGTTTGTACCTTGACCTATATATACTCTTGTTCTTGCTTGCTTGACTCTTGTATATCTCTATATATGCTCTTGCATGTGAACTGGCCTTGTGGCCTTTGAACTTGTGTTCGGAATGTGTGGTGACTTTGTGATCCACCCTGAGCTTTGCTTTGCTTGACTGGTCTTGTGACCCCTTGTTCTCCCCCACTTTGCCTATGGGGGTGTGTCAGAATATTATAGCTTACTTATTTGTGTAGGCTATAGTGGGGTATCCCATAGGCGGTACAACCCAACTAGGGTTTCCTATTTGTACTCACTTCGTTCATAGTCATTCCATTCTCTCGTTCTAATTTTCTCATTGGGAACAAATAAGTTAAGCGCCTCTGTCGTGTCAGTACTCAAGACACAAAACGAAGCAGCTCAAGTCGAAGCAGCGCGAGTCAACCAACGAGGTTAACGTAACCGTCGGAGGTTACGGGAAAGTCAAAGGGCAGCGACCTTTGACCTGACGCAGCGCGACAGCAAGGACAATCAACTGACTCGACATTGAGCAGTTGCCCGAGTCGCACTGTATCGAACTACAACAGTAAAATTAGTTATAATGTCTCTTCATATTCTCTGTACTCATCTATTTATATTCTTGTATCCCTTTGCTTTTATTAACTTACTTTGCCCTCACATACTAGCGCAAGGTGGTTCAAGAGCTTTATTCAACGCTTCCGCTATTACAACATCTACTCTGACTTTAACTCTACAAAGATCCTAGGGCGTTTCAGCCCAACACAGGTGAAGTGAATGCTAATTCGCAAGCTAGTGATCAACAATGAGACATGAATAGCATCATATACAGTACAAAAGTATAAGAATGCAGTTCTCACTGTTATGGTTTCCAATATCACAGTTGAGCGTGAATGGTGAGGTATTTGTCATCTCTATTTTGGTGTAGAGCTCCGTTGCGTAACTTGTTAAATTTGATATGAAATGTACTGTAAGCGCATAAGGCGGGTGTCGTGACCCTCAGAATCGTGCAGCTCGCGGTTCGTGCAAGGCTCAGCGCCATTGTGGCCAGGTACTTTTTCATGCTTCGAAAGAGTTTTTTAGGGTACATGGGACAAACCTCCTCGGGTGGTTTCGGACGAACGAAGGGCGCCGTTAGGGAGAGTTTCCAGGGACAATCGGAACCAAGTACCAGGTACATTAATTACTTTTCGGATGAGGTGGAGTTCTACTCACTCCAGAAGCCACCCCTCTCATTATTGCACCCTAACACATCCCCCTCCGCGCCTTGCCTTTCGCCCCACACTGGCTCTAATGAGTTTCTCTAATTACTTTCACGGTTACCTTACTGGTTATAGGCAAAAGTTTGCCCCGGCGGCAATGCGAGCTGCCCAGGCAAAGCGGCTACGAGGGAAGATGCTCCACCAAAATGCGAGAACGAATATTCCATTTCGTGCCTCACAGATGCGGCCACGTCAGCATCTAGCCGGACCACAAGATTCGGGTGAGGATCCGCCGAGAAATTCGTCCGTCCGTTGGATGCATCGATCTGCGCGTGTGAACAAACGTGAGCATCTTTTCTGAATCAGGAATCTTTCCCAATTCAGATCCCGAAAAATAACCCCACTTACTCAACCCAGTTGGCATATTCAATGGTGTTCGTCTCCACAAATCATCGTGTTGCACTGTGGAACCAAGCAAGGCAAAACAGAAGTGCCCCACAGCAAACGCACAAATGCAACGACAGAAGTAACATGTTTCGGCTGCATTCCAAGCTCCCGCCCCTGCACTCTTCACACTGAACTGCTGCCACCACTGCCAGTATCACCAGCTTTAACGCTGAAACCTGTCCAGGTGCAGAAAGTAACTTTGTTAGGAAGCAGAAAGCCTCTCTGGAATGGAAATCGACTTCTCGGAAATAGCGTCACCCAGGGAAATCATGGAAATTGCGCTGGGGTTTTAGCTGCCAGATTTACGATTTTGGTGGCGAGAGTCACAAGAGATGCTAGAAAATTACTACTAAAGGCATAGTTTTTGTGGTTCACAATGGACGCAGCATGTGAATTTCGTACTAAACGAGCCGTCGAAACAAGTGGGGCTGAGAAAATGCTACGTTTAGAAAAGCTTCTGGAGGAGCGGAAGAAAGTTGAAGCATTTAGTAGAGAGTTGCCACTAGCATTGGCTTTGTTAAACGAAGGTAAATCTCTCTCTCTCTCTCTCTCTCTCTCTCTCTCTCTCTCTCTCTCTCTCTCTCTCTCTCTCTCTCTCTCTCTCTCTCTCTCTCTCTCTCTCTCTCTCTCTCTCTCTCTCTCTCTCTCTCTCTCTCTTTTCTGTGTGTTTCTCGGTGTGTGTGTGTGTGTGTGTGTGTGTGTGTGTGTGTGTGTGTGTGTGTGTGCTGCATGCCGTTTTGCATCTTTGCCTCTTGAACCCTGAACAACATCCGCATCAACCCTCCGAATTCCACTTCACAACATCAGAAGGGAGCATCACATACCCCAATACGCATAACTTGCGGTTTACCATCCTGCACCCCACGCCGGCAGCCATATCCGAAGCACGGAGGAGCATCAGCCAGAGCAGCAGTCCCACAGGCACAGCGGCCCGAGGCAGCACGGATCCGAAACGTGCTGCTTCTGCAGATAGAGGCGATTCATGCAAGCGAATCCCATGCCAAGGCAGGCTGAGTTTGCCCGTGGGTGGAGGTTTTGGGGAAGTTGAGAGTACTTGCGAGGAAGGGGTGGGAAGGAGGGTGGGGACAGAGGCGGTGGATGCGGAAGGAGAGGAGGATAGAGACCGTGAGGCTGAGAGGAAAAGGGTGAGAGAGGGAGAAGAGGAGGTTGGAGAAGACGAGAACGGAGATGGATATGGGGAGGAATTTGGAGGCCTTTTTGCAGCAAGGCAGAGAGACAGAAACACTATGGCTGCGTATGGGGATTGCGTGGGAGGAAGTAGGGAAACTGATAGGATCGAGGAAGATGAAGGGAGCGAAAATGATAATGGGAGTGAGGGGAATGGAGTGGGTGGCCAAGTGGGTAGTGGGGGGGTAGTAGGAAGGCGAAGGAGACGGGCAGTGAGTGATGTTGAGGGCAGTGGGAGAAAGCGACACAAGCAGGATGAGGCAGGAGGCGGAGAGCATGCACGAGGCAGAGAGCAGGAATGTGGGCCATTAGACCTGGCAGCTTCGCCGGTGTTGAAATACAGTGCGAGAGAGGGGCGTGGGGAAAACGATGGCAGGGGGGTTCAGCGAGACTGGCTAGTGGAGCGGCGAGACCAAGAAGACGCTGGTGGGTCGAGCAGGCATGAGGGGAACACGCATTTGGGATTGGCGGATGAAGAGGGTAAAATGCGAGCAAGCGAGGAAGACCGGAGCCTCTTGCTCACTGCAGCAGGACTCTCTCTTTGCCTTGGGGATTCCACCGGAAAGCGCTTTGGTGGTGGCGGTGATGGTGTTGGCGCTGCGGATGTTTCCACAGCAATATGTGTCGGCATAAGCGCGGGAGGAGAAACTATGGGGTGTGGTCGTGATGGTATAGGCGATGCTGCTGCCATGGGTACTGCTGGTTGTGCCGTTGCTGCTTCTGATGCTACTACCTTTCATGCAAAGGCTGTGAGCGGCATAACTGAGAAAGGAGGAGAGGTGGCAGCAAAGAGCAGGATGGGCGTGTCAGGAGGAAGCACATGCGGTGTGGGGGAAGTTCAGCTTGACGTGGGAAGGATTTGGAGCAGAGGAGCAAGGGAAGGACAGGGGGAAGGGCACAATGAAGGGGCGGCTTTGCTGGATGGCAGTAGAGGAGTAAAGGAGAGTGGACGGGTGGAGCAACAAGGGGACGATGCTCCCTGTGCTGGTGGAGAAGCGGCTGCAGCCGCTGGCTTTTCCGGTGCTGGTGCTGGCGCGTCCGGTGCTGCTGGTGGTGGTGGTGCTGGTGATGGTGCTGCTGATTCTGGTCTCGGAAGAATAGGGGAGGTGGGCAGTGGGTCCGGTTTAGGGTGGCAACAAAGGATGGTAAACCGGGTCCTGGTATCAACGAGTAATGGTCGTGCCGACCGTGCGAATAGAGAAGGAGACCTCTCACAGCGGAGCAAGAGTAGGGAGGCAACAGAAAGGAAAAATATTTGGCTTTCTGTGGCACGGGAGGGCACATTTGGGGGAGGTGGATCTGCTGCAAACAGCCACGGGAAAGAAAGGGCGGTACGTGCATCATCAGAAAACCGAAGGTTGAGAGACAGCAGAGGAGTAGCAGAGGCAGGTACAAGTGGGGCAGGCTTAAGTGAGGCAGCGCACTCTGATGGAAGAAGCCATGAGAGGGAGAGGGCCCAGCAGGTGTTGGCAGAGAGCCAAACTGCGAGACGAGTAGAGAGTAGCGGAGGAGGGGAGCTCAAGGACGGCAGGAGATCGAGAAGTGGTAAAAGCAGTGGACGGAGCGAGGAGCAGCAGAGTGAGATGGGCACTAGCTGTGAATCTGGGAGGGAGAGAGGGAGTGAAGAAGATGGAGGAAGCAGAGGGGAAGGGGGGGGTGGAGAGGCGAGAGGGCGTGGAGGAGAGAGGGGGAGCGGCAAGGAGAGGGGGAGTGAAGGGGATAAGGGAAGCGGCGGGGAGAAGGAGAGTGGAAACAGTGGAGGAGGGGCGAGAGGTGCAGCTGCAGCTCGGAAGCACAGGAGGTGTTGGTCGCCTGACATTCATCAGCGGTTCGTCAAAGCGCTGGAGTCGCTGGGTGGATGTCATGGTGCGTGCATGTGCCATGTGTGCATGCGTGTGTGCGCACGTGCATTTGTGCATGTGTGCATGTGCGCTAATGAGCATGAATCTCAGGACATGTTTCCATTCCATGTGCCTTTCCATCCTCTCATTTCCATTATTCTCTCAATCTCTCGATCCCATCCACGCTCCACTCGCTTCCTCCCTCACGGCAGTGGCCACACCGAAGCAGATCAACGCGCTGATGAAGGTGGACGGGCTCACCAACGATGAGATCAAGAGCCACCTGCAGGTGAGGATGCTGGCAGGTGAGGATGCTGGCAGGTGAGGATGCTGGCAGGTGAGGATGCTGGCAGGTGAGGATGCTGGCAGGTGAGGATGCTGGCAGGTGAGGATGCTGGCAGGTGAGGATGCTGGCAGGTGAGGATGGTCGCAGGTGAGGATGCTGGCAGGTGAGGATGGTCGCAGGTGAATGGTGATGTGGTAAACATGTGTTGCGGTTTGAAGATTACACATAAGTGAGTGAAGGCAGATCGCCTCACTAACGCGGAGATCAAGAGATGTCAACAACAGCCCACTTCGTTGATTACCCTCGTTTTTATTCACTCTCATCTCATCATCCTTTCACACTTGTATCCTCTTCTGCTCCTCCTATTGCAGAAATACCGACTGCAGTCCCATCGCCCCACCTCAGAGCCCCCCTGGCCCTCCACCCCCCACTGTGCCTCCCCCTCGGTCTGCTCCTCACCCTTCTCTTCCGCTGCTGCTAACACCCTCCCCCTTAATTCCCTTCCCCCATCCACCTCTTCCTCTCACTACGTCAGTCACGCCCAACCTCGGAATCTAGCACCACCAAATGCACCCCCAGCTTCGGCAGCAGTTTCGGCATCCGCAGCTGCTGCTGGACCCTCAGCACAGCTGCTTGTGCTGGGCGGCATTCTAGTTCCTTCTATGCAATCAGGAGCTGCACGGGTGGCGGCGTTTCCAGCAGATGGAATCTCCGTGCAGGGAATATCCTCGATCCTAGCATCCTCGTCTGGAGTACCTGAACTTGGCAATGCTGGGCTGCAACAACCCAACACGCAGCATGGGATAGTGCTGCAGACACAGCAATACCAAGCACAGCAGATCCATCAGCAACATGTACAGCAGCAGCAGCACCAACACCACCAGCAGCAGCACCAACATCAGCGGCAGCAGCAGCAGCAGCAGCACCAGCAGCAGCAACAGCAGCCAGTGCTGCAGTGGCCAGGGAACCAGCAAGTAGTGCTGGTTCCTTTTCAACAGCACCAGCAGCAGTTCAGCCAGACACATACCCAGCAGCAACAGGCGCTACCACAAATGCCACTGCCGCCGCTGCAGCAGCAGCAGCAAATGCCAATACACTCACACCCATACCTTCCGTTGCCTTACTTGGAGAATCCACAGCTTAAGCAGGTGAGCCAGCAGCCACAGCTGCAACAGCATTATGGGACCACAGAACTGACAAACAGGCAGCTAAATCCAAACCAGTGCGCCTTGCGCCCCCATCCGGTGAACTCTCATGCCTTCCTTCCCCTGCACCACCCTGCTAACTCCTCTGCTCATCCCTCCCTCCCATCCACTCCCTCCTCCACCCCGAGCACTCCTCACTCGTTCATCCCTTCTCCTCATGGGGCCTTTGTGAGACCTGTTCCTCGCGCTGCTTTACCTCCTGTATGCACTGTTGAAGGAGAGGTGGGGCAGAATGGACGGAGCAGTTCGTAACATTCTTGGGAATTTCACCACCACCACCACCACCACCTACATTCGCTGCGTCTTTGTACAGTAAACCCCCGGATATAGGACCCCTTCAGTTACCGTATCACCCCGGATAGTATGCGCATACAGTATGCGATTCTAGTTGAGTATGGGGTATAAGCGCATGCGCTTATAAAATGGCTGATATAGATTCATATTCTTATAGCACCAAAGTGTGCATCTCATTCTTGTGAATTCAATGGAGTGGAAGTTTTATAGCGTCAGGAATCAGAATCGCGCGCACGAGATTCTCTGCCAGCCCACAGGGGCAAAGACACATCAGTCTGCCATAAGCGCATGCAAAATCTCAAGGGGTATAGACCCCTGTTACGAGTGCAATTGAGTGAGAGAACGAGGATTGCACTATCGAAGCAAGAATACAATGAGCGAAGGAATGAGCGAACAATATATAGCGAGGCCTAGCGTGGTAACAGTAATGCGCGAGAATGAGGTGCGTGACGGGCTTGGCGCCGAGTTTGGGAATTGTCAAGGCGGAGGACCAGAGCGCGGGTTATCAACCGAACCATGAGGCTGGGTTGCAATGTGGACATTGGCGGAAACAATGGTCGAGGCAGGTGTCGCGAGTGGTAACATTTTATTGTAGGGTGTTGTTTGCGGGAATAGTCATGTACGCGGTAAGCGTGTGTGTAAAGTACCGTATCACCCCGGATAGTAGCGCCATCCTATTAAAAGCGCCGGCGCTTCTATATGGAGCCATGCGCTTATGGCCGGTCCTCAATCATAAGCGCCCCCCCCCTGAAAAACCTTTACTTATTATAAGCGCACATACAAAATTAGTTTGAAATCCTGTTAAACACGGTATCGAGTTTCATTTTCGCAGCGAGTTCGATTTCATTCTCGCTTCGTTTGACTCGCGAAGACTTGACTGGTTTCGCGTCCAGTCAAGATGAGCTGGCAGAACGTGGAGGTTTTACTTAGAGGGAGCCAAGCCTACAGTTCAGACTGACCAATGCAGTCTCAAATACTTGAAGCCGCAGCCGATGCTTTCACGACGACAGGTGCGATGGGTGGACTTCCTGGAAACTCACTTCCACTACGACATCGTCTACAAACCCGGGGAACACAACAAAGCAGACTCGTTGAGCCGCCCCAGTCATGTAGCAGGCGTCCAGTTTGATGGGATGAATCCTCTACTCAAGGGTCTATGTCAGAGTTATATTATTGTAACTGCATGTAGATATAGCAGTAGTGTAGTTATCACATTCTGTTTGGTGGATTACCCCCTTTCCTATCATATTTGTACCCTTAGCTCTATAGTGAAGTTCCCTCTTTCATTGCCAACTCCCTCACACTCTACCTCCCAACATGGCTCCTAAGGCTAAACCCTAGCAACATATCTTGACATGGTACAGAGCAGGAATTTCTCCTGAGGACCTATTTTTTTTTAATGATCATGGGCCCACCCGTCGTGCCGCCCGTAATGCGCCCCGCGGGTCCCCCGAATCGCCCCGTGGACGAACCCCGCGGGTCCCGTTTTTCGCTTTCTGCAGGCCCTTCGTTTCGCGTCGCGCCCGTGCGCCCTTTTCGTCCGTCACGCTCCCCCCGTCGCCCCGCGATCCGCCTTCGCAAGCGCGGACGCCAGCGCCACAGCCAGCCGCGAGCGCCAACGCTGCAGCCAGCCGCGAGCGCCAGCGCCTGCGCGGACCGCCAGCGCCACCGCCAGCAGCTGCGACGGCCGCCAGCGCTAGCGCCAACGCGACCGCCAGCGCCGGCAGTGGGTGATTCCGCCCTTCCCTTCCATCGTGGGGGGGGGGGTTGGGGGGAGGGGGCGGGTGTGAGGAGCCTGCCGCTCCTCCCTCCCTTCCCTCTTCCTCTCTCCCTGCAGCAATTGTTGCTGAGGGGAGGGGGGGGGGAGAGAGGGTAAGGGGGGATAAAGGAGGGTATGAGAGAGAGTGGCAGAAGCAGCAGCCCTGCATTTGCAACTGCCACCCCCTGCTCCTGTGGCACCTCCAGCTGCAGCCCCTGTTGCCACTTAATTCGTCTCTTTCGTTTGCTGCTGTTGAGCGGCAGGTGCTGCCGTTGAGCCTGCTGTGCCGCCGCTTGTTGCCGCCGCACGCCGCTCTCCAGGCGACCTGCGCCACATGCACCTTTCTTTCGTTTCTATATTGGCTAAGGGGTTTCTGCTGTTGTTTCTGCCACTGCTGCACTGGTTGTCATTGCTCTTGTGTGCTAATGCTTTCAGTACACTTGCGGGTTGTGATTTATGCTTTGCTATTCCTGCATGCAGTTAAGGGGGGATGTCAGAGTTATATTATTGTAACTGCATGTAGATATAGCAGTAGTGTAGTTATCACATTCTGTCTGGTGGATTACCCCCTTTCCTATCATATTTGTACCCTTAGCTCTATAGTGAAGTTCCCTCTTTCATTGCCAACTCCCTCACACTCTACCTCCCAACATGGCTCCTAAGGCTAAACCCTAGCAACATATCTTGACAGTCTACTCCAACATGGTTACTTCGTGGACGCAGAGATCGCTACAGCACAGAAACAGAAGCTGTTGCAGTGGGAGAAAGACATAGCTATGAGGAAGGGAACAGAGGAGATTTGGGTACCGAACTATTCCCCGCTCCGACAGATCTTACTGGAAGAGTTTCACGACGTACAGTACGCGGGACATTTCGGGAGCAACAAGGTTAGCAGGGATAGCGAAGTATTACTACTGGCCCGGGATGGCAACAGACGTGCAGCAGTTCGTCACCTTATTCGATACGTGCCAGCGGATGAAGAGTAGCAAGCAGAAAAAAGCAGGGTTACTTCAGCCTCCACCCGTATCGGAGCTGCCATGGCAGGTCGTTAGCCTCGACTTCATCACGGGACTTCCTTCGACCTCACGAAGGCATGATACTATACTCGAGATGATCGAAAAGTTCTCCATAATCGGTCATTTCATCCAGACCAAAGCCACAGCTACAGCAACTACTCGCTTCTCCTTCGATCGCATCATCATCATCCACGGCATCCCCACTACACTGATCTCGGACAGAGACCCAAAGTTCACTAGTAAGTTTTGAAGGGAACTCATGGGTTTGTTGGGGACAAAGCTTGCCATGTCTTCAGCATACCACCCCCAGACTGACGGACAGAAAGAGAGACTCAATCAGGTGGTTGAACTGCGCACCGCTTGCAAAGCCGATGTCAGCCACTGGGATTCACAGTTATCGACACCTGAGTTTGCTTACAACAACGCATCACACGCGGCCACAGGAAAATCTCCTCTCTTTTTGTGTTACGGACGGGAACCACGTACGCCATAGCAGCCAACCACACCAGCATACGTCCAGGCCGCATATGACTTCGTCACCACCATGCAGCAGCTATGGGAGAAGACTCAGCGACGTCTCATTATGCCGATCGCCAGTGACTCAGCGATGTCTCAATAGCAGTCGGAGATCAGTTGCTTCTCGACACACACAACTTGAACCTGTCTCACCTTCCATCCAAACTCCGACCTCGCTTCTCTGGTCCCTTTCATGTTGAAGCACATGTGACACCGGTAACATTCCGCTTGCACTTACCTACTACGTGGAAGCTTCACAACGCTCTCCATGTGCAGGTACTGAAGCCCTACAAGGACCCCAACCAATAGTTCCAGGGACGGCAGCTACTGCCACCACCACCTGTTCTTGTAAAGGATGAACCTGTGTACGAAGTGGAGCGCTCAAGAGATGAAAGGGGACTACTATATGATGACGCTTATCGACGCCAGTTATTGGTTTGTCTCGGCACTTGTCCGAAAGCATTTGACTGCTTTCGTATCTGGTTAAAAATGGCGCAGTGACAATCGGAACAAAATTGAAGGCCTTTCAGTTCCACTCCAACTTCTATAACTTCAATTGAGAAGGGCATCCATCGGAAGATCTCACTACCTTATACTCACGAGCAACCAGGGTGTGAGGATCTGGTTCAGGAAAGACAAATCTATTGAATGATTCACCTAGGTACAAGGCGAGGCTATATATAGGCACAAAGGCAGTAACCCGGGTAATACTAGAAGGTTCCGCGGAGCGCGAAGCGTCCCGAATGGGTCCTTCTCGAATTCGGTAGAAGGCAATTTAGTGGCAACCGAAAAGCCTAGAATTCGGTGCCTATAACTACAATAACTATAGTAAAAGCATCGAACCTAGGAAATCAAGCAAAAGCATGCAAGATAAAATAAAGCTAAGCTAGGTAATGCGTAAGAAAGCAGAATCAAGCAAGAATAGTCCAGCAAAGTCGTCGCACTCTCACACGTCCCCCCATCAAAGCTGGGTGGTGTGAGATGCACCCTGCTTGACAAGATAATGCTTGAGAGTACAGCGTGCGTTGCCCATATCAGCTTCTGCAACCCAACTGTCCTCCGACGGGTCATATCCCTTCCAGCGTGTCAGGAACTTGAGGGCTTTCCACCGCGACACAGATGAGTGAGAACGCGCTCCACTTCGTATACTGGTTCATCCTATATGAGAATAGGTGGTGGTGGTGGTAGCTGCCATCCCTGGAAATGTTGGTTGGGGTCCTTGTAGGGCTTTAGTAGCTGAACATGGAAAGTATTGTGAAGCTTCCACGTAGTAGGTAAGCGCAAGCGGAATGTTACTGGTGTCACCTGTGCCTCAACGTGAAAAGGACCACAGAAGCGAGGCCGGAGCTTAGATGACAGGTGAGACATGTTCAAGTTGCACGTGTCGAGAAGCACCTGATCTCCGTCTGCTACCGTGTGATCACGTCGCTGGCGATCGGCATACTGCTTCTGGGAGTTCTACATCGTGGAGAGACGTCGCTGTGTCTTCTCCCATAGCTGCTGCATAGTGGTGACAAAGTCGTGTGCGGCTTGGACGTGTGCCGGTGTGGTTGGCTGCTATGGTGTAAGTGGTTCCCGTCCGTAGCACAGGAAGAATGGAGATTTTGCTGTGGCCGCATGCGAAGCGTTGTTGTAAGCGAACTCAAGCGTCGGTAACTGCAGATTCC